GTTTTGTCGCTCCTGGGTCAAACGTGTGCACTCGGTTCAGTTGGGGTTTAAACGGTTAAGTGCTGGCTAAATTGTTTCATTCTTTCGTTGCTTACCTTTGGCCCGACTGCTTTTTGTTTTTCCACCCACACCCATACCCACACTCTCTACACACCCTTGCCTTTCCTTTTCGTTTCTGTTCCCGTTCCTTTTTGTATCTTTTGTTCAAAGCCATCCGTCCGCCGTGCGTGTCTAAGGTTAAATTGCACATGTTGCCATGCGTTCTTCCTGCTGCCATTGATGGTTTTGTACTTTTCGGTTTAACCTCAAGGTGTTAAGCTGACGTCGTGCTGCCATTTTTTGCAGCTCCTTCTCGGTTGCCGACTCTATTGATGCAGAAAGACGCAAGACACTGTGCGTAATTGGCAAATGATGTACTTCCATTGGCCGAGATGGGGAAAAAACCAATGGGAAAATGTAAAAAAAAGGAAGAACGAAAATAAGGCAGAGGGAAAAGTATGAAAATCACCTTTTTTCTAAGATTCCACATCATCTAATGCAGTTACTATGCAGATACATTGCACATTTTGTAGCATTCGGTTATAAAAATATAAAAAAATGTGTGAATGAATTGCGAAATAATAAAATGAGAATGAAATAAAATAATAACAGCAATCAATATTCATATGTATTTTTCTATATATTTTTTAAGTCTTATCGATACCGATTTCTCCCACCAATTTATTCAGCTAACATTGTTATGAGAAAAAAGCCTGAAACAATTCGATAGCGCAGCATAAAATTGCTTCGATTTTTAATTACAGCGCGAACAAAGCGGTTGTTACTTTTTCACCGTTTGAATGGCATAAACGCTTTTAAATATTTGATGACGACTCCCGTTTGATTTCCCGTATATAAGCTGGGGTAACACAAAGCACCGTTCGAGAAAGCATTGGCAAATAAAAACGCACAGCGTACAACGCATAACGCATACGCAACGTTGACAATAGATCCGCACTTCTTGCCCGCGGGCTCATTGAACAATGCTCGGCATCAAAGCTTCAAATACAACGCGATATTGCCGGATACAAGGGGTGAGGGAGGAGAAGGGGGGTGGGGATGGGGAAACTCAACTGGATCCTGATGAAGGAGCCAAGGGCAGAGCGAACACAGCTCATAACCGAACTATTGTGGGTTTTGCCGTAGTGAAATAATACTCGCACGCACCGAGATGGCGCCTTTGAGCCCGCCTCCATGCAGTTTGGCCATTGCAATTGCATCGGAGCTTTGGAACTCCGCTAACCGATGGGTGCAGAGATAATACGCACACTGCTGGGGGATTGCGCCAATGGCTGGCAGTTTTTGAAAAATTATTTTCATTTTTCATCCGCCGTGTTCGTTGCGAAAACGCAGCTTGTGGCCGCAACAGACAAAAAGGAGAAGATTGTATCCACACCTATCCCTGCAGGGTTTTTCCATGTCCTGCGCAGACTTCCTGATGTGGAATTGCTCCTAGAAAGGATTCGTAAATCTTTCAAAGTCGTCTCCGAGCAGCAACCATTTTTTATGCCCTCTTCGTTTCGCTTTGAATCTGTCAATAAATTTAATTAGCTGTTCTATTTTCCCAGACAGCCCCTTGCAGTAACGAGGTTTTGACAAATTAATTTCCGTTTCTTTTTAATTATCTGTCGGTTGGTTGCGTTCGATTATAATACTTGAATCGAAGAGCGATTGGTCGTAAGAAATAGGAAACGGGAAATTGTTCGTTAAAGATATCTCGTTAAATCGAATGTTGCTTAGATGACTGAAGGAATTGGATGTGTTTTGTGTTTAAAGAAAAGAGAAAATGGAAATTTAAACAATCGAAGATAAGGAAGGAAGTCTGCGTAGTACATCCGCAATCATTGTATACTTTGTATATCATTTTTAAATTGACCACAAAAAAATAAGGCTTTTTCTTCCCCAAGGCTGTACACATTATCACCCTGTTCATCAAGCAAAACGTAACAAGTAAATCTGTGAAATTAAAACGAAATGTCAACCAAAATGCGTACAGTCAGACGGACAGAAAGAGTCTCGTTTGCATTTGTTTTTCAGTGGTTGATTCGGGATTACCGCAGCCACCACAAACTCCGCTCCTTTCTAGTGGAGGGTTTCCGTCAGACTTCGACTTGTATATTTCACACACCCAACCGCATATAGTATATATATACATATATAAGAGACATATCCTGTTGATGTAAAAGACTCGTGTAACGCGACTGGGATTTATCTGTGAGGCTCGTGCAGAAAATTGAAACCGAAAACTCAAAAACATATGGCTAAAGGGCAGCAGAAAGGGTAACATTTATCTCTGTTAATTTGATTAATGCAATTCGTGTACTTTTTAAAGTAACTGTATACAAAGCTGCTGTGTATTTTGTTTAATTATACCTTGGACGGTTGACTTTTATTGGGAGTGACGGCAGTTTAAGTCTGCAGGTTCAAGTACCTCACTCCATTTATTAGAATTCATGTCATTTCCCTCTATACATTTCCTCCGATTTTTCACGGCGTGTTGCAAAATCTACTGCGACAATTTCGAGCTCATTAAAAATTTTCAACTGAAATATTCCGCCGGAAGCCGAGTCTCTGTGTGTGTTCACCCTCAACGAAGCACGTCTGCCGTTTGTGCTTGTTTGTTGGCGTACACAGTGCCTCTGATAAGTCAAACACCACTTGGGCTTGAAAAAACCCGCCAGACAACCTAAAATCATTCAATGAAGGCTGTAAAGTAATACCTTACTTTAGTTCTGGTTAAGTGAGAGATATAATTACTTTTTGCAGAAACTGTTACGAGCCACATGCTCTGTCATCGTTCGTATTTTAGTTTTCCACATTTGTTGAAATTAAACTACAGAACTACACACGGATATATTTAATTAGATGACATACCCCTATTATGTTTTATTTAGAACTCGAAACTTCCAACCGCCAACCTGCAGAACCTGTTCCCTTTGCAACGTGATTTGTGTTCGAGTCACATCCGTGCAGGTGAAAATTAAGCTGCCGCATTTAAATGCGGTGCGTTTAATCATATACGTCGCAATTCATGAAGGCTTCCACTAAAGCCAGCTGTTAGATGAAATATTGTTAGATTAAAGAATATTTGCCTATTAAAAACGAGGCTAGTAATCTTGAAAAAGTAAAAATAGCTATAAGTTGTATAACTAGTATAACTACTATTTACTGAGCAGATTTGAACGTCCACGTCTTTGGATCTCTATTGTCGAAACTCACATCCGGCTAACTCGTATGGCTGTACTTTTTGTCTCGCCTCGTGCCACATCATTACCACTTTTATTGCCATCCTGTGTGTCTGCGTGTTTCCTGTATCGACGGATCGAACGATATATCAGTGGCACACACAAGAGCCCCGTTCACATGTGCCCCACCCCAAACGACTTAAACAGTTTAGTCCGCTCACTTTTCTACAGAAATATTTCTGAGAACTATTGCCCGACCGGGTTCCGTTCACTTTTTGTCACATAAAACTCACAATCGGTAGCCATCTTGGTTGCTTGGCTTTTTGTCTGCGCTTCATTTCACTTCTTTGTTAACGTGATTCGATTTTTATTGCAGCTGCTGAAGGATTTGCTCCATTTACCTACAATTCTTTTCTTCAACCGTGCTCGGAGGCCAAAACTGCTGACGTCTTTATTGAAATGGCAGGTTAATTCATTTGATGCATTATTTAAACTGTATAACCAGCAAAGATTCGCCGGCTTACATCTCAATTCATTTGTTAAGCAAGGCCAGTGACTTCTAACTGATTAATTTCTGAAGTTCTCGAAGCGTTGGAAAGGTAATATGTTTTTTATTTACTTATATTAGTTTAAACAGTTGAAAAAACTTAACGTCTATTTCCGGCGCTTCTAAAAACAGTATTGAAAGATATAATAAGATTATATTAGCCGTTAACGAACATGTTTAAGCATCGTGCTGGTTTCATGAATCACACCCTTATCAGTTAAACATAAATAACAAAAAAATATTTTTAAATTTTTGGCAATATATATTTCTGCTTTTGGCACTTTCTGGTATTTCGCTGCGAAAACATTTCTAAAATGTTTTTTGTGATTTAATCTGAAAAAGAATAATTAGGGTATTGGGACCCATTAAACTCTTCAAACCTCATTTAACCGATGTGATACCAAGCACTGTTTGAATCCAACTTTCGTCGCGTTCACATCAAGAAATGGGAGCAAAAAGAATAATGTTTATTTTAGTTGTAATTCATCTTTTAAGTGGTTTGTGTAAATCGAAGCTAAGAAAGCTATTGCAAAAAATCCCAGATGACTATTGCGAATCATATTGTCAGGGTGTCTGCAACGAAACAATCAGTGAAAAAAGGTGCAACGACGACGATTTTAATTTTATTCTCACCAATAATTACCAATTGATTCTGAATGATGGATTTTTAGAAGTTAAATGGAACCTTCCTGATCCAAAAATTAGATTTCTGACCGCAATTAGCAAGGAACGCAATGTGAAACTAATAGATTTAGTAGTTTCAGACACAAATCATGGATGGCGAGCAGTGGATTATCTTCGACAACTTGGCATAGAGACAGTAGGCCGATTCGAAAAACAATTTTACACTTTTAAAATTGTAGAAAGAAGTGTTCATGCTATCCATGGACCGAAATCTCTGATTATAAGTGTTCAAAGTTCCGTTGAGCTTAACGAAATATTTACTTATATAAGAGGCACGACAAACAATCTGACGGAAATTATAATTGATAAAATTGATGACTCAGAAAATCAAGTTCTTATCATGAACGAAAATATTTTTGATGGAAAAAACAATGTAACATCTCTCACTTTTACTGGGTTCGAAATCCAAAATGTAAACAATAAAACATTTGCTGCTTTGGTTAATTTACGAAAGCTGATTTTCTCCAAATGTACGATTCGAAATTGGACATTTTTGAGGTAAATCTCTCGTTATTCCGTCTAACAAAATAAAAAAACGTCCAAAAATGTTTTTCTACGCCGACATGTAATAAAAAGATTAAATTCGTTGCTCCATAATTTTTTTAGATCGGATGTGCATAATATTTTATTAACTATTGTTTCAAATTTATAATTTATCTTTCCAGCACTCTTCAAAAGAGCCTTCAGCATCTGGAGCTTGATATTGGCGATACGGTGGACATAAAATATTTCTCAAATTTTCCTAAGCTAAAGTTAGTTAATGTCAGATATTCTATACCCTTTGGCAATATGTCAGCTTTAGCATGTCAACAAAAAATGTGTAATTTTGTTTACGGAATCAATGGAGTAAAGTGTCCTGATGTTTGCACCTGTCGATTTATATACGATGATTTAGAACTCAGTATTAACTGTAGCAACAGGGGACTCTCACATATTCCGCCTTTACCCATTTCCATAATCGGAAGTGTAAAACTAATATTTAACAACAACAATCTCCTACAATTGCCTAATTACACATTAGCCGGTTACAATGCGTTAACAAAGCTTGATGTTTCCAGGAATATGTTAACCAGCCTGAGTATCAACAATCTACCTAGTAAACTGGACTTTCTAGATATCAGCTTTAATAAAATAGTCAAAATGGACAGAGAACTAATCGAATATATAAAAAATGTGTTCATCCTTAAACAAAGAGGCAACCAATGGATTGTTTATTGCGATGACGACCCTTTATTACAGTTATTTAAGCATCTTAAATCGATAATACGGTTAAGAAAAGTTGAGCTCCGTCCTATATTTAGAAAGTTATTACCAAATTCACCTGAAGGATTTGTAAAATTCTTAGGTCAACACTTTCTGAGGCTTGGCGTACGAAAGCAAAAATACTTCTTGATAAATGAAGATCAGTTGGTGACAAGTATGCTACAAAAACTAAACGACTTCGAAAAGATCATGAGCATCTATAAGTCTATGGAGTGGTTGCATCAACAATTAAAATTTATTAACGACGAATATGAGCTTTTTTATTATCATCAAATGGCGGCAGCCTGTCCCTATAAATGTGAATGCTGCCATAAACGTACCACTCAAAATTTAAAAATAGACTGCAAGAACAAATTTATACACAACTTCCCAGATATAATTGCACCAAATCGTTCCCAGGCTCAAGAAATCTCGAATAACATCGAACTGGATTTATCCACAAATAATATCTCTGAAATAACCATTGAAATGCTATCTGAAAATATCAGTTATCTGGACCTACGAAACAATAGTTTGAAGACACTAGACGACAAAGTAGTTCTTTACCTAAAAGAAATCAAAGACTACGCTAAAATTGAACTTTCAGGGAACCCTTGGAGTTGTGACTGTAAGTCTAAATCGATCCTTTCCTTTCTGAGGGACTTTGAGCCACTAGAATACAATGTCATCCTGAGTCGATGCCAAATACCTAGATCAGATTGTCCGGATGGTTGCATCTGCTGCATGGATAACTCAACATGGTCTTCTTTCATAGTTGATTGTAGAGGAGAAGGACTTTCACAGATACCCAAACTGTCCACAGCAGTGACATATGTGGATTTGAGAAACAACAACATTAGCGAGCTAACCCCGAAACTCCGATCTTTATTTCAGAATGGATCCACCTTAAGTCTTCTCTTGCTCGACAATCCCTGGTCTTGTTCTTGCAATGATATGGAAAATCTGAACTTCATGAAGAGTGTCTCGTCACATATTATAGACTTTACCGAGATAATCTGCGCCAGCGGGGAGAAGCTCGTATCGATAGATCCGGATATTGTATGTCCATCGGGCATCGCATACTACTTGGCTTTGGCGATCTCCCTTGCAGTCCTGATTTTGGTGATCAACTTTATGATTTGCTTCAGACAGCCTCTTCTGGTTTGGTTCTACGAGCACGATGTCTGTTTGAGTTTGGCCGCCAGAAGGGAACTGGACCAGGCAAAGAAGTTTGACGCGTTTTTGGCCTTCACCCACAAGGACGAGCCTCTGGTGGAGGAGTTCGTGGAGAAGCTGGAGCTCGGAAGACCCAGATTCTCGCTCTGTTTCTACCTGCGCGATTGGCTGGCAGGGGAATCCATTCCCGACTGTATAGGGCGATCTGTCAGGGACTCCCGGCGCATTATAATCCTGATGACAGACAACTTCATGAAGTCCACTTGGGGTCGACTCGAGTTTCGCCTCGCCCTACACGCCACTTCCCAGGATCGGTGCAAGCGCCTCATCGTCGTCCTTTATCCGGACGTGAAAGACTTCGACAGCCTGGACAGTGAGTTGAGGGCCTACATGGTGTTCAACACCTATCTGGAGAGGAGCCACCCTAACTTTTGGAATAAGCTGATCTACTCGATGCCCCATGCGAAGCTGCGACGTGATTGATTTCGAGAAAATAAAGTTTCATTACTTTTGAAATACTGCCTGTAAAATAAATTACTTTTATAAAGCTACTAGGATCTGTATCTCTTTGAACTGAAGTCGGAGAATAAGGGAAATATCAATGAGATGAATGTAGAAGACCAATTTTGTGTCTTAAAAAAGCAGGAAAGAAATAAAGCACGAAAGCTCGAGCTACCACGATCAACCTGCGCAATTCTTCTACGATTTCTTAAAAGATTTTAATGTAGTCTTGTCTCAGAAATAAAAATATTTTTTTTTTGTCTCCCACACATTTTAATTTTCGATTTTTAATCGGCAGCGTCAAGAGTTCCATTCTGATTCCCTGCCATGTGGCTTAGCAGCAAGGACCGCAACCGCAAAAGCTGGTGAGGCCGCCGCAGCAAGGTCCACATCCTCCGCAAGGACCGCATCCGCCGCAAGGACCGCAGCATGGGCCACACCCACCGCAGGGACCACAGCCGCCGCAACAGGGGCCCTAAAATAAATGTGTTAAACCGATTCCTGGAGACGACACCTTTTGATCCGTATACTTACCCCCACCAAGACGTAATTTGGATTAACGTACATATACATGATTTTGGAGTTTTTAGAAATTTTTACAAACGGAATCGAAATAAAACCTTGACAACCGAAAGGAGTTAGGTGTGCTCACTGTGGGAGATCAAATGGAGGACTGAAGAAAATCGGTCTGAGCAAGTCGAAATTACTTTTGACAGCAGTCATTCGAAAATTCGCAGCTAATGTGATCATATTGTTTTTTTACGATACAGGCATTTTCGGCAGATTCTGTTGGTAGATATGCAGCGATGGAAAATTTAAGAAAAATTCAACGCTTACTTTGACGCTCACCAACCTATGAAGCATTTTTCTTTGCTGTCTGAACTAAAAAACCGATTTAATGTAAGAAAACATTTTTCATTCCAAAATTGTACTTAACAAAAAAAAGCTTATTAAAACACACACCACAAAATTGGAATTTAACAAATCAGTTATATGTATAAATAATTAGTTCAATAAACTGGCTGGCAAAATTGCCACTTACCTTGTCTGTAGAGGTGGAGAAACATCGATGGCAACATCGATGACATCGATGTTTTTGAAACATCGGCAACATCGATGTTTATCGGGGCAACATCGATGTTTTTCCATCTCTAATATCTAAGGCGCAAAAGGGAAGATTGACACATTGTAAGTACAAATATCATTTAATTTTAGTGGAGTGAGTGGTGGAAATAAATCATGGACAGACTTTTGAAAAGTAAGTATTAAATATCAGAATTTTTTTGTATTTACATAAATACATTCATATATACATATGTATAGTTATATGCGTTTCTGTTGCACATGCACATTGCATGCATTTTTGCTTTTGCATTGAATTGGCATTGATACAGTTTATTTTTTTGTAGGAGCAGCCAGCGAACAGTTTTTCTTTATTTAAAATTTAATAATAAAATGGATACAAATTTTAATTTTATTTTTAAGCATAAAAAATTACCAAAAGAAGTCCAAAACAAACTGCTAATTTTTTTATTTAAACATCGATGAAACATCGATGTTTTTCGCCAAAAACATCGAAAACATCGATGTCCGTGAACATCGATGTTTCTCCACCTCTACTTGTCTGCTCTTTGAACTCGGTATCCAAGAAGATGGTAACGAAGTACACGGTATCCAGTCGATGGTTGCTGCCACACATGCTTCCTTACATTTTAACTCATTACTAATTACTACAAGTTATAATACAAGCATTTACTATAATAATTTATTCGTTGCATAAGACCTACTTCATTGTTTTATGCAAATTTTATTTTGTGAATTTTGTGTGTTGATTGTTAAATGTCACATGTTGCAAGTTGCACGTTGCATGTTGCATATTGCAAGTAGCATACTCCATTTTGGCGTTGATGTAAAGTTGAAAACTGAACTGAAAACTGTTGATCAAGTTAGCCGTGGATTACGTTTTCTGTTGTCAAATTCAACTACCAATATCTGATATTCGTTATCGTCACTCTAGTTTAGACTTTCGGCCTGTAAACATCAAAATTGTTTGGTTGTCTCAAGTTGTATTTTTGTTAGGTTCAAAGTAAGTTATAGTAAAATGATAAGCTGGCAAGTTTTGTTTAAAGGAAGGTTTTAGATCTTTACGGACTCATCATGTGTTGTGGACCCCTCGGATTCTGTGGACCTTGCAGTCCGTGCGGCGGTCCTTGCGGCCCCTGCGGACCCTGTGGCCCTTGCGGGTCCTGCTGTAGCCCCTGTGGATCCTGTTGTGGGCCCTGCGGACCTTGTTGCGGACCCTGCGGAGGATGTGGGCCTTGTGGACCTTGCTGTGGGCCTTGTGGACCTTGCTGTAGTCCCTGTGGTCCTTTCTGCGGGTGCTAAGCAACAAAATGATCGAACACCTACTTCCTGGGAACCACAGAAAGTGACTTGAGACCACACGCAGAGCAAACTCCTTCCTAAGCGTGGACCAATAAAATAAATTAAAATACAAAAATTGCTTTTTATTTGCTTAAGGGGTAATTTAATAGTTGGCGGTGAAACTGTATTTGAATATTAATTGTCCACATAAATGATTTATCCACTTTACCTCGGCAGTTTTCATAGTGATTAATATATTTATATTAAGACAAATGAATGCTATCTTTAGATATCTACAAATGGTAAATGTTTGAATAAAACAAGAAAGGAAGATAGCTTCGGCGAGCCGAAGCTTATATACCATTGCAGCCATCAAATATGTCGAACAAAATACATTAAGGCAAAACAACATCGAAGTTATTCAGAATTTTCTATTAAGTTTTTATATTTTCGATGATTGTACAAATGACAGGTATATGATATCTCCGTCCGATTTTTATGAAATTTAATTCGAAATCCATGAGTCATTAGAAAATACTATATTTCTGTTAATTCTATATAGATTTTTCAATCTTTCCTATAGCAGCTTTATGATATAATTGTCCAATTTCTATGAAACTTTTTTCTCGATTCTAGGGTAGGTAAAAACTCGACGTTGTAAAAATCATGGTCATTTTAATTTTTTATACATATAAATAATTTTCGATCTTTTCTACGGCAGCTATATGATAGAGTTATCCGACTTTGATAAAATTTAATTCGAAAATCGATAGTAGTTAAAAACACCATCTGAAAGAAATCAAGTCGATATGATCAAAAACAATGGAGTAACATTTTTTTTTTCAATCTCTCGTATGGAAGTTATCTGATATAGTCGCCCAATTCGGCCCGTTCCAACTTATACACTGCGTGCAATCTTTACACAAATTTTGCCAAAGTTTCAGCAAGATAGCCAAAAAAAAAAATATACCTTCCTCGCTCCACCCGGGAGCATAGAACCTCCTCTACAACTTGTAGAGGATTCATTAATCATTGGTGTTTTCGATCGTACTAGTGATTAGCCAGAAGCGACTTATCCTAGAGGTGGGGTTGCCACCTAGCGCCATCAAGGAGTGGCTAAAGTTTTATTATCGTGTCCATAGTAACGTGGACGAGGGGGTGTGCGGGTCAGGGGAGTCGAAATTTCTTAATATTGTTAGAGCATAGAAATGATGGAGATTTGGAAAAAGAGACAGTTTCTTTTTCTCGGAAAGCCTGGGAATCGAACATAGGCCTTCCGGTTCGGAGACCAGCGCTCTACCTGCTAGTCCACCGATCGTTAAACTGAGAGACTAGTTAATATAGAAACAGACAGACTGACTGAAATACTCTTTGCTATGCAAGGTTTAATGAGGCAACATCAACTGTATATGGATGTGTATTCAGTCTTCTGACCCTCTCGTTCATACCAAGAACTTGTTTATATATTTGTGTCAATTTTTTATGATTTTCTTAAAAAGTTAATTGTGGCCATCGAAGGTTAACATAACCGTATTTATTATCGTAGAGGGAGCTAAATCGACGCGTCTTTTAATGCTTTTTATAAAAGTGGGATACATCAAATTTGAAGCAAGGCAAGCCGCATGGGTAGAGAGTCCTTAAGGTTCTTTAAGGAAACCCTTATGGTTTTTTAAGTGATAGAACCGTTTTAGATATGGGAAGCATGTTGGAGGCTTACATTTCAGGTTTAAAGCTGGCTGTGGAAATTTGTCTTTTTCTGCCAAACCGATACTCACATGAGGTTTCCGATTTCTAGCCATTCCATTCTCGGCCTTTGTCTCGACTACTTCTAAACTTCTTGTTTTGTCTTAAATTATTGTTTGTTCGGCTTCAAGTTAGTACAAAAATAACAATTTTTAATAACATTTTTTTAAAGTAATATCATCGGTTTTTGTTTAGATCCGTACGTGTTAACCATGTGTTGCGGACCTTGTGGACCGTGCTGCGGCCCCTGTGGACCCTGCTGTGGCCCGTGCAGACCCTGCTGTGGCCCTTGCCGACCTTGTTGTAGCCCTTGTGGATCCTGCTGCGGGCCTTGCCGACCTTGTGGGCCGTGCTGCGGTCCCTTTGGCACGTGCTGTGGAGGCTGTTGGTGCTAAATGCACCTCGAAACCTATTTGTTGCTTCCGGATCCTACAACACCTTGCACTCGACAGCCACAAATAATAAGCTAAGATAAAACATTAGTAACAAAAATGAAGCACAATCTTTTTCCCCCGATTCGTTCTGCAATGTGCTTGGCAGCCCCAAATTCAATATCAAAATAAAATTCGAGATCAAAGAACGTCACTTATTTGGGTCAATTATCTTTGAATTAGTTTGTGAGATATGACAATAAAAACGAGCAAGGAAGCTGGCTTCGGTTCGCCCAAGCTTCTATAGTATACTTTTGCAGTTATTAAGTTATGATATAGTCGTCCGATCTTAATGAAGTTAATTTATTTATTTTAGACTTTCTTATAAAGTGGGTTCTTTTAAAGCAAAAGTATAGAAAGTTATGTATTAGTAGCAAAGGGCAAGTTATTAACTTTCTGATCTTTTTCAAAATTTCGGGTTTCTAGGTAAGTACTTAAACGAAAATTAATAATAAGGTATTTTCAATATATAAAAGTCAGCGAAATAAGATTTTCTACACAAAAGGATAGGAAGAAGAAGATAATTTGATGTGATCTTATAAAAAAATTTTTTTTTTAAGATTTGATGAACAAGAAATAAAAATATTTTTCACCCCGATTTCTCAAGGGTCAACACCAACGTAGCGTTCTCAGAGGCTGGATAAAGTTGAGGAACTAGGATTGCTAGCGAATGGGGATACTCAAACCACGGGTCACCTTCATTTTCACTTATGACAGATAACGTGGTAAGGTTTTGTAGAATATCAAATTCGATGCGTCAAATCTTTGAATTTAAAGCGTACCTAAGGGATTCGCCGCACTTGCATGGAGGCTACTATATCATCTGTTCAACAGCCATCCTTCAGCATCTGCAATCATGAAGCTTCTGTGTTTGGTTATATTCGCTGTACTGGGAATCACGAGCCCCTCAAATGCAATGCCCAAATTTAGATCGACGCCGCGGTGGGGATAATAAAATAAAACAAACAATGCCTGATCGTTTTAATATTAGAATGACTAATAAAGTGTGTTTTATTTAAGCAGAAAATATCAAAAGTTTCGTTTTAATAGTAAAGGGCAACTTAACAATGTTCTGAACATTTTGAAAAATTTCGGTTTATGGGTAAGTACTTAAATGAAAATTAATAACAAAATATTTTGGTTATATAAAAGACAACAGAATAAGATATTATACCAAAAAAAGAAGAAGAAGATTCGGTGCGGATTTGAGATATTTTACTGTAAAGAATTGCTATGTATCTTTTGTTTTAAAAAACACGTTAGCTTATTAAAATTATTTTTTAGAAGATTTGATGAGACAGAAATACAAATATTTTTTCTCCCCAATTTCTCAAGGCAAACCCTCACAGTAGTGTGAAGAAAGTTGAGGAACTAGGATTGCTAGCAGAATGGGGATATTTAAACAACTGGTCACCCTTATTATACCCTTGCAGAGCATTGGGTATTATAATTTTAGTCAGAAGTTTGTAACGCAGTGAAGGCGACATTCCAGACCCCATAAAGTATATATGATCAACATCATCGATTGATGATCAAATTCGATGCGTCAAATCTTTGAATTTAAGGCGTACCGAATGGATTCGCCGCACTTGCATGGTGGCTACTATATAATCTGTTAAACAGCCAGCCTTCAGCAACTGCAATCATGAAGCTTCTGTGTTTGGTTATTTTCGCTTTACTGGGCATCGCTATCCCCTCAAATGGAAAAAAAGTAGGGCCGGTAGAACCTTGGGTTCCGCATCCAAAACCCATTGGTTATTAAAAACAAAATTTGTTCTTTTAACGCCTGATTGAAAATAAATTTAAGGCAAACAATTGCTGATCGCTTTCTTATTTTAGACATACTTATAAAGTGGGTTCTTTTAAAGCAAAAGTATAGAAAGTTATGTCTTAGTAGCAAAGGGCAAGTTATTAACTTTCTGATCTCTTTCAAAATTTCGGTTTTCCAGGTAAGTACTTAAACGAAAATTAATAATAAGGAAGGCGGGAAGGCGGGAAATAATGGCTCTCAGGACTTTGGACTCAATGCAGCGGTGAGTCTGCAGACTTTGGACCCAAATAATACGAATTTTGCTTCAAGCCTTAATCTTTTTATTTTCAGCTTAAGTTTCAAAAATTCAAGTTTAGTTGGCTGTGAATCAATTTTCTTCTTACCTGTACACAATCCCCACTGAGCACAATCAGTTTTTGTTTTCCGTTCGGCCCAAACACACTAAATTTTAACTCTAGTCCAAAGTTTTTATTTTCCGCTTCTTGTAAGTAAATTGGTATACTTTTAAAAAGTGTGTGATATTCAACATTTTATTCATTAGGCTTAAAAATAATCATGGGTTGTATGCCTGGTGGACCTTGTTGCGGACCTTGTTGCGGACCTTGTTGCGGACCTTGCTGTGGTCCTTGCTGTGGACCCTGTTGTGGAACCAGCTGTGGACCTTGTTGTGGTCCTTGCGCACCTTGTGGACCCTGTTGCGGAAAGCGAAATGGCCTTCAGATCCCCTGAAGCCTTATCCAAAAAAAGTCCTGGACTAGAGTTTAAATTGGTCACCTTTTTATAAATAAAGCAGAAAAAATAAAAATATAAATATTTCAAAAACGAATTTAAATAGGTTAAATTGTTACACATTTCTGGACCTAGAAAAAATATATTAAATTTTTTTAAAGCGAGACTTTTAAACTAAAAAAAATGTAAGGAAATCTTGGAAAATTAAAAGGAATTGATGTGAGGTATTAACTTTATACCTGACAGAAAAGTTCCGCACTGTGTTTCCCTTGTTCTGTCAAAGCTTTCCAAACTGACGGCAGATGCCAAACGAATTCCGCAAAGGAGAAAGGCGAAACAGAAATGCATTTCTCCAACGACAATTGACCAAGTTAGCAGTGCCCGCTAGCAAACACACTTATACGAGCTCCATTGCCATGGGGATAAGGGAAGCAGTTAATATATGCCAACATGCACGGGTAATTGAGGCACTGCAGCTGCTAAATAAAAGTATCCCTGACTTGGCAGCATTTAAATTAGCCAACTAGGGGATTTTAATTAGTGTCAAGTGCCTTGGAATAAATGGTGACCGAAAGGGGCGTGGCCGTGGCCAATCAAAGTGATTTTGCCAGCCATGTTACCCATACGCCCCGTGTGACTGGGCCAAGTCAATTATTAATGGTTGCTCGGCTCGAGTGCAGACTGCTGACATCTCAATTCATGCTGGAAATCAGCAGGCAAATTGTTTATTGTATGCCAGCAATAGAATGCCAGTGGAATGTCTGGGGAACTGATTTTCATCATTTATTTTGCCAGTAGACTTTTGCAGTTTCCTCGCTGAATTATGAAGGCAGCCACTTCACGTGTGTTTGTGTGTATGTGTGTGTGAGTGGCAGTGGTTCAGCTCGATGACGCAGTTGGGGGAATTCTCGGGTGTGGAAGGGACCTTCAGAAGGGGCTTGTGGCATCCGGGCGGCATGTAAATGGGTTGCAATTCGAGTAGCAGCATCAGCAGCACCAGAATCCGGAAGGGGTCGAATTAGAGCTGCCGGCTGGAATGACAGTCGAAACGCTTAATCAGTGCTATGAATTTCAATACGAACCAGTAATCCAAGATATCGCATATGCCGCAACCGTTGATTGCAGTACCGGGGGAATAAGAGCTCAATCACCGCACAAATGTTGTAATCAAAGTCGGCGGCCTTGCTGTTCAAACTGAGCGAAGGTTATCGGTTATGAATTTGTTTATTTGTATAGTAATATTCTAAATTAAACGGTAAATCGTTTTAACAAGGTATAACACTCGTTATCGCACCTTGAACACTCAACATAAATTTGGTCAAATTTTCCGATGAAAATATGATTATACATTTAACTAAATAACCGAAGTATCTGAAAATGTTTAGAAAACCCAATAGAAATTCGAAAGAAAAAAAACTGCGGTTTTTATTCTACCCGCTATAGCAAAATAAAAATACAGCATATATATATAAACCTGATGGATTCGGTAGCTTCTTTCTAACTGCATTTCCCCTGCCTTGAACTAAAATTATAATACCAATTGCAAGGGTATTAGAATGGGTTAGTTACTAAACCCAGTTGGCAATTGGGGGACACTCAAGGCGGTCCCTTCCAAAATTATTTGTGTTGTAAAGCGTTGCAAGGCCTTTCTCCGAATCAGACTATCGAACATGTCCGCGACCACCAGCGGCATTGAAGAAACCAGGAATGGAGCTCCTACGATATGGAGCAGACGAGGTGAATCCCGCGTGGAGGAAACCACTCTGATCGGTGATGGTCTGCACGTGCAACGTTCTCGACAAGGTCGTCCACAAGGGCCACACAACCAGCGAACATCCACGGATCGATCAGCGGATAGAAGGTCTCGAAATCCAACGCATCGCCGGGCCAATCTCCTTCGCAAAATGAGCCTACAAAGGAGTTTGGCCTTCTACAACCGGTTAAGAAGCAACTTTGGAGGACCTGCTTCCGGATTTGGTTACGCCTTTGAATCGGACTTCAACCTGCGGAGGCAATTGCGACGGGACTTCTACCTACCGATGTTGGGAAACTGCCTTGGTTTCCTCAACGGAAGTGAGGAGGGGGCTGAGGAGAGGAGGTTGTTCTCGGATCGATGCCACTGGACGCGGGCTCAGTTGCACTTCCAGCAGTACTTGGGTCTCCGGCATCGCCATCACCACTTTTCGAGATCCTCCTCCCTGAAGTTGGATCTCAGTCCCCTGGACTTGAGACTAATCTACGGCACGTTGTACGGACTGGGTCTCAAGGAGGCACTCCGACTGGCCTTCAACGAGGTGGTCCACCTGCACTAGTTTCGTTTCCCCAACGATCGATAATAAAAAGTCATTTCCAATCTAGACGAGGTTTTCCCTGCCCAGTGTGAGCTTTTGCATATGCAGTTGCCCCATTTGGTGGCCCACTGGGAAAACCTTTTCGGAAAGTCTCTCTGTGCCGCAGGTTACTTTTCTTGTCCAAGATCTTCTGCCACGCAATTCGCCGCTGTTGTGCATTTATGGAAATCGTATGCGCCAGTATAGTGGCGTTGTTTGGGGCGCAGCAGGGAACTTGAAAGCAAACACAAAAGTTGGGGAGTCGAATGTTAAATGCGCTTTTTGGAGCTGTCTTTTATTTATATTAAAAATATTATATCTAAGGATACTTTACACCATTTCGAGTGCTTAATAAATAAATAAATAAATTCGTAACGTAAGTTTATTTATGCAGTAGTCCAATTAATTTGTTTAAAAATATATTTATAGCATAACAATTTAAGTTACCCGCATTCAAACAATTTTATTAAAAATATTTGCTTAAGAATCTAACTTAAAATAGATTTACCCTAAAACTTATTGGAGAACTGCCAGGAAGTACGGAATTCGTGGCAGAGTGCTGTGGCGTTCACATATGCCGCAAGTTTTACACAACGCTCCCGAAATAACAAGCGATGAACACGCGTGCATGTGGATTCCTCACACACACACATACCCACCACCCACTTCCACACACATACTGGCTCCCGCAAACACAAACACATGCACAGAAGACGCGCTGCGTTCATTTTGCGCCTTATCTGCGGTCGCAAGTGTTGCGCCATCGCAGCCCGAGTGCCTGAAATTATGCTAATTTCTGGGTTTTTATGCAGCCAACATGGAGCGGCTGCGGGAATCTGCATCCTCATGGCCGAATCTCCTCCAGCTCCTCCAGCTCTCAGCTCCTCCAGCTGCCGCGTGTTGGCTGTTGGTTGTTGGTTGTCGGTCGCCGGTTGTTGCTTGTTGGCTCTTGCTGCTCCGGCTGTGCATTTTGCGGCGGAGGCACTGGCAAAAGGCACAGGGAATTCCACGAAGCGCCACAATGTACGGATAAGAAATGCAAACTAAAAATGGTTGTACCAAAAATAAATGCATCGTTTTCACTTTTATGTCGGTTAACCTTTTCTAAACCGCTCGATGCTAATGACAAGCCTGACTTCATTTTTAAGTCAGCTTATCACTTTAATAAAAAGGAAGTCCAAACTAGTTATATTTGATCAAACTTTATAAAAATATATATAACAATTCATAAGCAGCTCATTCTATAAGACCTTTTTCCAAGTGCATTGAAGAAACGATGCATTTTACGGCTTGGGGGTTGGCCTGCTGATAACGCAACATTAATAACACCCTCATGGCTGGCTTTCCCTTACTTGATGATTGAAAATCCAGCAAACTGCGCCGCGCCCCAAAGTGTAGCACATTCATTTACTTATCAGGCGAGGGAGTTGGCTCTCGCAGAGTCCACACTTTGGCTCCATATTTGTGGCACTTTGGGGAGCTAAGCAGACAAAAAGTGTCCGAAAAAAGGAGTCAAGCAGCTGCTGCCACTTTTTCTGCCTCTGCCTCTGCCTTTGCCATTGCCATTGCCATTGCTATTGCCATTGGTCTTGTTGTGGCCAGTGTTAACATAAAACTTGGGCAGCGATAAACTCTTGGTCCGCCCACGACATTGTCCAGCCGAGCATTTGTTAGCCAGCCTCTCAGCTCGGGGAAGGCTTCTGGGCCATTTTCGAAGCCGGATCGGACAGATCCTGCTGAATATTCAACGCCTTTTCCATTTCTCTTTGCTCGCCCGGCGCTTGAAAATTTCACATTTCTTTTACCAGGCCCTCCAGTGGCTACTTACAAGCTCGACGAGTGCGGCCCCATTTCACATTTAGTGGGTCTTTGGTGTTGCAGAGCGTACTAGTTTAACAGGAATGTGGAGACCTGAAAGTGAAGTGAACTACAAAGTAATATTGCATTAAAATACAATGTATAATATTGGTTTCGTATGTTGCTTTTCAATATTTTATAAAATCTGCTTAGAGTACAACTTATAAATGTATACAAAATATTTTCATATCCACAGCACTCAACAAAAGAATAATAATATTCGCCATGTTCAGGTATTTAGTTGTCGTAACACTAGATTTGTTTCCCTTCCTAGTAAATGTAGTTTAATACAATAGGGTTTAGAGAGTGCAGATGTTGCATCAAAAACACAAAACCTTTCTGAGTGCAGCCCACCTCTCTACTTTTACCCAAATAATTGTTTGGTGTTCAATGCCTGATTTTAGACCCAAAATCAGAAAGCCTGAGAATGGGGAATTACATACGTTTTGCACCTCCCTTTGCTTCAGCTTAACAATTCTGTTTCCGCTGAATGAATACAACGCCAAAGGAGGAAATAACTTTTCAACAGCCTTATCAGCAGCCAACGGGGTGATGGGTTAATGAATTCCAACCGTAATTACGTGGCCATGGGGAGTGATTACCCCAAAGAGGCCGACTCAACCGAAATGTTATGACCGCCGAGCAAGGGATCCTTTTAATTATTGTTTATAACTGGCGGATGCAACTTTATCTTGTTTATTTTATGCATATTTTTTCGCTCTTCCTCGACCATTTAAATATTTCAGCTGCGGTAAAGTTTCGATTGTGTTTGCAGTTTTTCCTCTGAATATTTACCCAATTGATATTGGCCCGCCAATTGGTCTTTGTTTTCCACTTTTGGTGTTCTTCGATTGCATACTTAATTGAATGATTTCTTTTTCGCTGCTATCCCCAATTAAGTCAGCTGTAAAGAGTTGAGTTGGGTTGTGTTTAAGGTTAGAATATAAGCTATTTCTATCATTTATATTGTTATTTCTGTAAGAAAAAATTTAAGTTGTAATGATTTAGAAGATAGTTTGATATTTGGGAATAAATCAAAAATACACACTCTTCTTAAAGATAACCCATTTAGGAGGCAAGACTAGAATTGCAGAAATGATTAATGTCATTTTTATCTTTGTAAATATATGATATTTAAAATCAAATTTAAATGCTCTGAGGAATTGTTAAAATTTATGAACAAATCTTAATAATTGATTGAAAATATCTACTTCTCTCTTAGTTTAACTATGTAGAAGGTCAGAGTTGAGTCGTCGAAGTATTGTGTTATTAATTTTATTTCTAAATAATTCTATCTTATCAAATTAAGTATATGTGTTCTAAAAAATAGTTCAACTACATCTGTAAAGTATATTGTTAATTCCGTTAATGAAATCTAAGCCATACAACTCTATGAACTCAAATTTAAGTGTTTTAAAAAAGTTTGAAATTATAACAAATCTTAATAACAACAGAAACTAACTACTTCGGCTAAAGATAAACCACCTTAAAGGCACCAGTGGATGCGCTGAAATTTTGAATGTGATTTTTTTCTGTGCCCCAATGTGGTGCCTAAAGTTGATAACCTTTGGGAGGCAGGGGGACATGTCTTCGCCACCCCCTTTTCAATGCGTCAACGTCTGTGTCTGCTTCGCTTGTCATGCATTTTACGCATGAGAAAGTATTTTCAGTTAACAAGTGCGAGGGTTGAGCCGCGCTCCGCAAAAAGTATCCCCAATGCAGAAGTGCACAAGGAAAGCCCCATAAAAATAAATCGAATTGAGGCGACGGGAGCCGCCGGTCGGGATAACAAACGGTGCTCCATGCCAACGGAGGGGCTGCAGGGGGTGGAAAGGGGAGGGAAGGGAGTGGGGCAAGTTGGGTTTGTTTATGGCGCGATACGAATGACACGTGACTGGGAGACAGAGACACCAGACAAGAACCGCCAGCACCAGACGCTCGCAAAAATTATGAAATTTAGCGCAAGCCGCAGCGCTGGAGTTGCATGAAAAAAAAACACACACACGGGCTCACACACACAACGAGACCTGCAGCTATGTGACAGCTTTACCGTATCGCACCTGCCGCATTCACACTCACACACACACACTTACACACTCGCAAAGGGAAAGGCGGGAAAAAAGTGACGGCCAATGCGCTTAGCACTTTCATTTCGTTTGCTGCAAATTGCTTAACCACAATGCATATGTATGCAAAGCGGTGACGCGTACCCGAGCGTGCACTGCAAGAAAAGTGTAGATGTGTTTGATTTATAGTTATCTTATTACCATCACCTCAAAAAGAAAGGTTCTTGAATCAACTGGTGGACTTAAAATCGTATTCCCCACAATATAACTCTTCCAGCCAAAAGTATATAGCATCTTTAAAAAGATGTAAAAATTAAATATTTTTTTGTTATTTTAAGACAAAAGATCTCGAAAACAAATTCTTGTAAAAATGTTTCCTAATTGATCGAAAATGGATAACTCAGCACAGCATTTTATTTAATATTAAAACATTATAAATATACATTATATTATATATGTACATTGTTAACAAATTTTTAAATCTGTAACCCAATTTTTTAAACCAAATTACAAATATCAACCCCAAAATTTTTTTGAATTTATTTCCCCGCATAGAAGGATAATGGTATCAGCAAACTGAGCTCGGCGTGGTTTTTTCTTGTGGCAACTGTTGCAAGTTGTCGCCAGCAGCTGCTCGGCTCAATCTAGCAGCTAACGGTTTAACGCCTAGCTGCCTTTTTTCCAAGTTTTCAACATTTTCCACATAGGTGTAAGCTTACAGCACTCATTTTCTGTTCAGAAGCAGGCAGACAGGCGGGAATCATCCGCAATTGAACAACAAAGAAGACTTTTTTCGGCAAAACCGACACATCCCAATTCAAAACGAATCAATTTGATGTAATTAGTTAAAGATTCAATTTGAAGTGCCTAAGAGTTTCAAAGGGAGGACGCCTTTTCCCATTTCCGTCTTATAAATTTTGATTTATTTCCAATCCCATTTATTTCTATTTCCCCATCAGAAGCGTGTCTATTTAAAACGCTTGATGTAATTCATTTCCTTTCTTCCTCTTCACAAGTAGGCTTTCCCGGAAAATCTCTGTTATAAGCTCACATGGACTTGCGAATTACGAATACGCACTGGTTGGGGTTTCTCCAGATTGACAGTGTTTGCATTTCCCATTCGAGCCTTTTACGCTGAAAATTTGTAAATAGAAATACAAGTTTAGTCGTTTTTCTTTTCTTTTTCAGCAGAAGCTGCTTAAAGCTGAAGAAACTGATTCACATGCCCCGTTTTTAATTTATTTTTGACGGTCTTGATTCCCTTTTCATCTGCGGTTTAAATAGATATTTATTTCCTATATTATGTTGTACTCTATTTTTATTTTTCATATTCCTTAAGAACCCAATAAGCGCCAAACAAGTTTTCTGCAATCAATTACAAAAGTTGCTAGTAAGTTTAGTTTCCTTAAACTTAAGTGTTGGCTGACTTTTACGCCATTTAGGGGCACTCTTGACAAATCGCTGTAATCGTTATTGATTGATCAGCTGGCAAGTAAATTGTTATTTACATTAGTTGCTTAAAAATGTTTTACTTTGTGATTTCATTGAAATGTGGTACATGCGGTAACCTTTCTTCTTTGTTTTGTGCTAATTAAGACAATGCTAGGCAAATATTATATTATAAAATTTAATAATGGTAATGAGCAGAAGTAGCATGTCTGATTATCAACCAACAATTGTATCGCCAAGGTGACAGTTGGACGCTTTAGTCCCCCGCTAGGAATAAACCACCTGTCAAATGCAGTGGGGCCTGAACTCCACCTAACCGCCAAAATAGGGATACGCACACATGGAAACCCAAACCAACCGAATTTCACAGCCACAATGCCACTTCCTGCTTTTTGTTTCCACGGGCCACAAAGTCAAACCTCGCATATTGAACAACATTCGGTCTGTCAGGAGTCCGTTGCTCAATGTGGCAAATCGAAACTATATGGGTTGGGTTTTCGCTATTCAGCCAAATGTGTGTGTATACACCTCCGAGCAATTTCTCATTCATTGGATTTGTTGCAGGAGGAACGGATGTCAAATGCCAAACGCCATTCTATACCCTCAAATTCGAGTATTAAGATGGCCATGATCTGTCGACGGAAGAAGTGTCAGCTTGATTAATTGCACAGCATGCTGGAGAGCTCTCGCTGTTTTAGCCAAGATGCTCCTTCCCTGGTCCTGGAAAAATACTATTGACAATAAAGAACACATATATTTTGCGAACGGGGGCGGTGGCCTTGGCCAAAACTCAATAAAAATGTTGCATAATTTTTCCTATCTCTTTCGGTCACCCTTTTCGGATTGGCTAAAACGGAAATGAATTTTTCCGCTTGACCCAATTCGCTCGCATGTATTTATTTTGCTGCTTGTGTTTATCAAGGCTTTAAGTTTGCTGCTTTGCGGTTTTTTATTTATAAATCCCACTTGAACGAGCACTCCAAACTGAAGAGATAATTAATGCTAAAAATGATGAAGGGTTTAAGTGGGTTATAGAGAACCCGATGTACGCAAACAAACGGTTTACGAATTTAAAGTCGACAGCTTATTTAATCGGCAAGCTTTTTATCAAGGCATTTAACTTTTAATTTGTGGCATCCTTAAATAATACGTTATTCAGCAAAAGCCACTCAGCTGGTTTGTTCCACAGCTGATATATTGTCATTCATATGTTGTGTCAGCAATTTGTTAGCTTTATGGCTCGTGCCACGCCCCCAGTTGTCAGCCAAAAAAGCGAAAAAATTCAGAGCGGGTGATTGGAAAAAAGTAAGAGGAGCGGATAAAGAAAAACACAAAACTTGCATACATAAATTGTATTTATGCACTCTGCATTCTGTCATTTCCCGAACTCATCGCTTTCATATGGCTCTCAAGATTTATTTGAATGAGAAGCAAAAAGGCAGCAAAAATCAATACTCTTAAAGGAGAAATTGCAGGATAGTGATTCTGATTTTCTATGTTTTAAAAATATCTTTAATCATTTTTAGTAGTTGTTATTAATATTAAATAATATAGATTATTAATAATGATAATACTTATATAAATAATAGTTTGGAATGTTTCGTTAAGATTTTGATTGTGATTGATTGTGATTCCCACCTGCCTCTTCATCAACTTTAACTTTTTGAAGTTTTACCGCTTAGTTATACGAATGCCTGTGTCGTTTTGCCATTTTTAGCCTTAGTTAAAGTTTAACATGTTTTCTTCGAAAAAGCAGGCATTCAGGTGAGGTAACCAAAACCATAGTTTGGTTAAAGTTTCACGAATGCACTTTATATGACAAAGTTTGAACATATCTTTTTACGAAAACTAAAAATATATTTGGATCAGCAAACCTAACAACAAATTTAATTTATTTTCTTTTTAATAATATGAAGAGTTCTTGGGAAGCAGCATGATTTTAAGGTAACAGAAAATAATGTGGTATTCCTGATAAAATTGTCAACATTTTTATAGAAACAATGCAAGAATTATATTTTAACTTGTAAAACACAGCTGAATGATAAGTTTAAGTTTTATTTTTTTATTAGGCATCTTTCAAGAGATGAAACATATGGAAGAAGAAAAAAATGTTGACATGGGTAAAGTAGGGAAACAATTTGCCAACTTACGAGCTTAGTGATAACCACGTCATTTCAGAGACTTTAGAATGGTGGTTTCTCTTTTAAAAACAGAAAAGAAGTATATAGTTGTAAATTTTATTTAGCGTGTTTTTTGTTCAATTATATAAATAAATTAAAAATCTTTACATTGAAGCTTTGTAATTTTTTGTTCGATTATTAAACTGGTTTAAAAAAATTGTTGCTTAGGTTTACAAGCGGCAAAACTAATCAAAACATTTTTGGATTAAAAAGAAAATAATTAAGGAAATTTTAAAGAACTTTCATTGCAGGCAAAGTTAAATGTCAGGTTTTACGAAAAGTAATAGACTATACCTTTTCGAAAGAAAGATTGTGGGAGAGTCCCCACTGGTTGACCTAAAAATAGTGAGCGTGCAAGCCGCAAGTTGAAGTAATTTCTACTTAGCCGCAACTAACTACGGGTCGCACGAAAGTGTTGGAAAAAACCAAGAGAGGAAACTTTGGAACGCCTCAGAAATTAAAATAAAGTGCCAAGAAAGTGAAAAGCGAGTGGCCCGTGCCCCGGGAGCAGCATCTTGAAGTTGGCCAAAGCCAAAGCCCGGCCATCAGCGCAACTTCCGTTTGGGCCAACACAGCAGCAGCGTAACCACTTCTTGTTTCCATTACTTTTTTCATTCTCATTTTCGCTCTTGCTGTTACACAACAAGAAATGCGTTGTTTTACTGCATTACTTATTTGAAAAGATACTAGATTTGGGATAAACAAAAGTCGAATACCAGATTAATAGTAACAATTTTTGACATTAAACTACCACACTCTGCGTGAAATAATTGAAAGTATTTCTAAATACATAATTAACATTTTTTACTTTTAATTATTTTAATTTATTTTTTATTTGTTTATTTAAAGTCCGCTTAAAAATTAAGTAAGTATTTGTCATTTGAGTAGATTTTTATATTTAACACATATGTCACATCTTTTTTCAATGAATTTAAGCCCATTTTCTTTTTTTTAAGTGTACTTTTCTTTGGCTGCGGTCGGCGTGGAAAACTGTTGCCGGTGCGTAGGCGTTGTGTCCACGTCTCTTTTAATAATTTGTAACTCATTTTGCACTCGGGAAACAAAACAACGACAACAACTGCAGTGGCAAACGTTTCACCTTTTGAGCTTTTCGCTTCGACCATGGACAAAACACAAAGTGAAAAGTAAAAAGTAAAAAGTTATATGCCAGAAAGTCACCGAAAAAAGGAAACTTTTCTTGGTTTCGAGTAAGGACATTACATTTGGGTTAACAGGCGAATTACCTAATTGGAGTGGCCTAAGAAACCAGCGCTCAACTGTGTTAAAAAGCCAAGACCCTGAGCGAACTAACTTCACACTTTCGAGAGCTCTTGCTCGGGGATTCTAAGCTGGGAATGAAGTTTTAAGAAAGCTTTTTGGCTTGACCACAAAATCTAAAACAAAATGTTTAACAGCAACTCAAAAACATTTTAATAGAATTCACCAACAAAACAACAATTAAATGGAGTACATAAAACTTATAACTGAGTAATCAGTCAAAAAAATTTGCCTGCTGGGAAAGGCTCCACAACCATTCCTTTTACGAAAAATAGAAGCCGCCTGAATAAAGTTTCCATTGGTCTGAACAAGTAGTTTTCTGCACCGAACTCGATCACAGCCAGTAAGCCGATAAAGTCTTTCCACCAGTTCACGAAACCTTTCACCGCTTCTTAGATGAACTTCGTTAAGAACCTGGAGACTTGGCCAAATTATGTGAACTTCTCTTTCGTAACCAGCGGGCAGCAGATTCCTCTCGAGGTAAAACTCCACGAGGGCCAGATTTTGGAAAACCCGCAGGGAGTCAAGGCTTTCAATATCGTTGTTTCTCAGGGAGACGCACTGCAGTCGCCAGAAACGCTCCTCCACGCGATCGAAGGACCACAGGTTACTCAGGTGATTGCGGTCCAAGATCAGACGCTCCAGTTCTGGCATCTCACGCTCCACAATTCCGAGGATCGTGCTCATGAGGTGGGGATCGGCCAGGGCGAAGAACTCCCCACGCAAGGATTCGTCGTTGTGGAAGAGAGTCAGATCCAAGCTGCGGTGATCTTGATCGTATCTGGAGAGGATCACATCCTTCAGTACGCTTCTGTGAGCCGAGTTAACCCGAAGTTGTGGCATCCGGTCGTTGACCCTCAGCTTAACCCGGCTATCCAGCCTGCCGAGGCGAAACAAGGCATTCGCCACCTTGTAACTCTCCACGTAGAATGTATAAAAAGCGCCGGAGTCCTCAGCCGCATCATCTTCTCCGCCGGAGTGTTTGTAGCGGGGATACAATTTAAGCGGGATCAAAACTCTTCGCAGACGCCGCATCACTCGGCTTATAGACTCCCGGCGATCGCTGCTGAAAATCAGCACACGATACCATCCATAAACGCTCACTGGGAGATTGGCAATCGGTCTGGTTTCGTATCGAGTCTCGTTTCTTTCAGATCTCGGAGTGGAGTGGCACAAAGGACCTTCGCTAGAGCTTCCCCTCGGTGTGCAAAACATCTTTTTTTTATATAAATTTCTAGGGAAATGAACTTAATTGCATGAACGAGTATAATTTCGTGATTATTTTTTTGAAACTAGACAACGGGGTTTGATTTTCTAGGCCTATTGGCCAGCTGTTTGAGGTTTAAAACTGAACCAACTGTATTTTATATTCTGATGAAAAAAAAGTTGTCGAATGAGAAAGCCTGATCTCATGGTGTAAAGAAATTGAGCTGATTTCACATTCCAGAGTTCATATACCTTACTAAGTACCTAAATCATAAAGATTCTTTCAGTGACAAGATACCAGGTCTGATCAATGTCACCACTTAGGTAGTATTGAATTAGATGAGTTTTGAATTTTTAAAGCTTACTAAAAAATGTAAAACTATTGAAACATAATTGGTTGTGTTCTTGATTAATAAAAATATATGATTAAATTTTGTGTGTTTTTTTACTTATCACAGTTTTAAGCAGAAAAACCGAGCCTCAAAGTTAACCAAGCCATCTGTGCCAAAATTTAGTTCGTAACTGTAAATTTTTTTACCAAACTCACAGATGTTGCCAGATAAATCAAGAAATGTTTCTCACCTTACCTTACCTACTCTCCGCATGATGGCGCTATAAGCTCTATGTAGAAAGAATGTTGTGCACATGTATTGATTGTAAGTTCAGTCAGCGAACGCTAGATGGCGATAAAAGAGACCATGTATAAGTATATTGTATATTTACAATGTATAAGTAAAATCAATCAAAAGCCCAAAATGATAGAGCCGACTCTGCGATTATTATTATTTGAATGGAAAATAGCCGAAAGCTTTTTCCAGAAACGGAATCGCTAGTTCATAGTTTTCGATTTTTTTACTAAAAATTCTTTATCTATTTATTTTTATATTATTGATTTTCATAGCTGCATTTCTAAATTTTTGCTTTTATAGAAATTTATCTCGAAAAGTTTTTCAGGGAGGGTACGTCATTTAATAATACATCATTTTTATTATATCTTTCTTTCGTTAAATGCTTACTCCGTGTTGTGGCCCTATACTCAAAGGTATTAACAACATACGATTTTTGTCTTTATTATTTTAACGGTCGTTTTATAAACGACAAATGGTATAAAGAATGTCTTGAATGAATAAAATAGTTTTGGTCGTTTCGAAGTTAGGATTTTTATTTATATAATTTATGGGGAACTTCTTATCGTTTCGAAAAATGGACTCATTATGTGTAATAGAAGAAGATTATTTACTTGAAGAAAAAAATTCGTCATGCAACAAATTGATAAGCAGGCACATTTTTCTGGTATGACCAACCAAGGTTCATCGTAATATTTTTAAGTTGAATTAGCACTCACTAGACAATAAATTGAAGACTTAATATCAACGGATTTGAAATGAATTATTTCCCTAAATTAAAATATAAATGCCTTCATGCTATAGAAAATCACCAGCATGGCCAGAACTCCCTGTGGAATGTAGAGTGTGGGTGCCGAAGATCGCTTTTTGGGGTAGTACACGGTTTTCTTGGAGAGCAGGATGACCTGGGGAGGCTGGCCAGGGATGGGCTGAGCTGCGGGGGCAACCGGGACAGGAGCTGGAGCTGCCACTGGAACAGAGGTATGAACTGGTGCCACAGGAGCTGCAGCCGGTGGAACGGGAACCGCTGCTGCAGGAGCCACTGCAGCTGAAGCTGGGGCAACAGGAGCTGCAACAGGAGCTGCAACAGGAGCTGCAGCAGGAGCCGCAGCAGGAGCTGGAGGCCCTGCCACGGGAGCAGGGATCACCGGCGAGGGCTGTGGCATCACTGGAACGTGGGAAACACTGGGGGGCAATGGCGGGAGCCGGTTGATTGGACTGCTGCAGCGTGGGGCAAATCAGGTGCTGCGTTTCCGTGTAGGTCTTCGGATTACTGGGATTCGGTTCGCGGATGGTTTGCTTGTAGCATCCATTGGCATCGGGGGCCCCTGTTTCGATGACGGTCATCTTCTTGGGATCTGGTGGTGCTGGAGCCACCACGGCAATGGGTGCAGGCGGCACTGGGACACCTGCCTGGTAGAAGTGGTGCACCTGCGCCACGGGGGGCAGCAGGAGCTGCAGCTGGAGCCTGGTGGGACTTGGCCACCACGTTCCCTATTACGGCGCCAGCCAGAGCTCCACCCAGAAGACCCACGCCTTTAAATTGCAGAGAAAAGTTTGACAACATTAATACAACATTTTTAGATTTGTATTTTTGTTTGGTTAAGCTTGGGAATGCACGCTTCAATTAAAATTTAAGCATATTTGCCGTAATACCGGATTTATTCAAAGGACTTTTCAAGCCCATAAGTAAAAGACAAGTAGGTACTCTTTACTCTTCAATAAGAACTAATTCGTATTGCTTAAAAATTTATAAAGCGACAATATAGTAATTTTTTTTTTAATATCTAGGAAATTTTTCCCAATAATAAAAAGTTTAATTCGACTTGAATTAATTTTGTTGGTTAAAAACAGTAATTAAACTTATATAATATATAATATATATATAATATATAATATATATTATATATCTATACTAATATTATAAAGAGGTAAAATTTGTTTGTTTGTTTGTTTGTTTGTTTGTTTGTTTGTTTGTTTGCAGGGAATAGGCTCCGGAACTACTGGTCCGATTTAAAAAATTCTTTCGCCGATAGAAAGCGATATTATCGTGGAGTTAAATAGGCTATAATTTATTTTGAAAAAAAATAGGGATCCGTAAGAAAATAGCAATATTGTCGCATATAAAGTGAGTTGCTACCTCATCACACTGACAAACACGCTCCCATAGCATTTTAACTCAATTTTTGTGTTCACTGTGAAATTGTGAAAAAAAAAGAATTTTTATTCAATTTAAGTTGAACTGTGAAAATTATGTGGATCGTGCATTTGAGGATAAATTCACCACTCTGTCCATAGTCCAAAATGCTTAGAGGACGACGTGCAAACATTGGCCGCAGACATCCAAGCCAGCAGCCAGTATATTCACAAAACTTAAGCGAAGAGAGACAAATGAGCACATGGAGATCATTGGCATCATTCAATCGCTTGGCATTCCAATATGACCCCACTGCGAACTACAGTGATAATGAAAATTTAGATATTGGACCAATGGCGACTATATACCGATATTGCAGTGCGTTAAAGTTTAAAAGAGAAACGGCTGGATTGTGCTGCGCAAGTGAAAAGTAAAACTGGAAAAGTGTTAAATCACCATCTGTTGCAACATTGACTTTTATGTTGTTAAATTGTGTTGACCAGCGAAGCGGACACAGGACCTCTAGTATATTATATATATATATAGATATATATATATATATATATATATATATATATATATATCAACAAATAAACCCTTAAAAAATGTATTTGAAAATTTCGTTTCTAAGGGCACTTTTTATCTTTGTTCACTTACCAAAAGCACGTTTACGACCTCGTTTCGGTTGGGCTTGGCTAAATGGCACCAGACTCAAGCTGAGCAACACCACCAAAAGAAAGACTTTAGCCAGATTGCGATAAGACATGGTTAGATAACGGAAAACTCGATTAGCAAGAGATATTTGACTAAATCGGCGTTCAGACTTGAACTGATCGCAGAGTTTTTTAGCCGACTCGTTGACGAAGAATTTTGTTCGACTTGCAAATATTTACACAGTTGCCTTAGGAAGTTTAACGAAATTTATCGTATGGCGCATGTTTATTTCTCGCTTTAATTTAATTTTATGCGGCACATGAAACGCTCATTAAGCCCCAACATCTTATACAGTAAAGTTTGTTTTTTGGAAACGAGAGAATTTATATAAGAGAGATTTGCTCATGCAATGAGGTTTTGTTTTCCTAGAAAGAAAATGCCCTAAAATTAAAAGCTTTAGAAATATGTTATCTAAAAAATCTTTTCCATTACTTTGTTTTAGTTTTCTGTTTTACAAAGTTAAATTGTCTTGTCAAATTAGTTTACCTAAAAGTTGTTTATTCAAATGTCATACTACGCTGCATTAAGCTTATAAATTAGTTACCGACCCAAAAAGTTATTTTAGGAATGCATTGTAAAGTAATTTACAAATCGTGTATTCCGGCAACTTTGTAGCAGCTTTCGCAACCGAAACGAAATACATAATGGTCGACTCAAAAGTGTTCTTATTATCCCGTCTCAAAAGTGGTGTGATTTACTCAAAAACCCAAAATAAAATGGAAGCCGCAAAAAAGAGCAAGCGGTAATTGTTTAATGAGCGGCGGTCTCTCAGTCGCCCTTTTGGATTTCATTTTTGCAGTAAGTTGGCCAAATTTTAAGAAGCAGTATCAGCTGGTAAACTCAGGCACATGGCACGTGAGGTTACATTTAATTTTCATAATTTTTCGACCATCCGAGGTGGACACGCAACTCGGTTTGTGTTAACACTCCAAAGAGAAGGGCTTCCCTACTTTGGCTGGCATTGGCTATTGATTAAATCGGCTTAAAGCTTTGACTAATGATGACAGAAGATTTGGCTTGAGAACATGGGGCGCTAGAGCGCATAATTCGTTAGTGTTGGTGGAAGCTGCCGAGTCATGGGGCAAATGTTTCGGTGTCGAAATGACCTGCATCAAATGTTCCGCCCTGAGAAATCTCCAGTCATTTGTATTCGGGGGATTTGCCGGCAATTTGTGAGACGCGACTTTAATTCGCTTAATAAATATTTGCTTAGTTTCTCGGCTAGCTCAGGTTTTGGTTTTCGGAGGTAAGAGAAAAGGAGGCGAGAAATTCTCCTTAAACACAATGGACAATTGTCAATTGCAGGACATTCTCTGCCTTTTTTGGGGGTGCGACACTTGAGTTCTCCACTCGGCCATTAATCATTCTCCGAACGAAACACAGGAAGAATAATAGTTGAGATGAAGATTTTACTTTAAGAGTTTTTAAAGAAATGAAGTTACACTAAAATTGAGTCCGAATCTTTATGATAGGTTTAAAAAATAATTTCCCCTATAAAGTATAAAATGTGTGCCAGATTTATACGAATAAGTGTCAAAACAATCCTAAGAATATCACACCAAAAATTGTATTTAAGAGTTATTAACGTTTCCCTTGGAAGTTGTCAATTTAATAGGCATCTTGTTTTAGATTTTTTTTTTATAAAATTTAATAGGGTCATATTGACTTCCTGTTTCAAATTTTTGGCACAAACCTTAAAGACAGGAACCTCTTTAACCAGATCAATTTCAATGATTGCTTCAGAAACACATAACAAAGATTTTAAATCGAAATCGTCTCCATTTCTCTCTGTGTAGAGTGACGACGGAAACGTCAGAGGCAGGAAGTTCGGGGATATGCGGCCAGGAGGCAGTGCAGCTTTCTCTCTGCCCGCTGATGGACATCTTGGGCCAGGGACCTCCGACGAAAGTCTTCCTTCCCCCTTCTCACAGGGATAATGATGCGCAAATCGCTGGCAGTCATCGCCGGCTCATCCTCCGAATGTGGATGTGCTCGGCTTTTGGCCTGCTTTGTTTCACGTTGTGGTGGCTTGCTTTTAGTTGCCTCTATTATCCTTAATGCGAGTCACTTTGTTAGAAACGTCAGTGGGCCTGCAAGCGCCATTATCGTCATCGTGCTGGCGGGCGAAAAAAACAACAAAAAATATGAATCGGAAAATGTGCAGACACGCCGCCTCCTCGCCGAAAATGCACGGGAATGAAGATAAAACATGACAGGCGGTTCACATCCAGTCATTTATAATAGGGCCAATATGGGACCCTTCCCCCATCCGCAGTTTATCATCCTGGACCCCGAGATCTGGGCTGTACTTACTGAATCTCGCTGGGCTGCGTTCGAAAAACTTCAGCAAACTCGAGACCTAATGAAATAATTGTGGCGAGCTATTTACAAGCATCTAATTCCGATTCGATGGCGAGCCAATAAAAATATGCCATAATTATCCAGAAGCCAGGTTCTGGCCGGGATGAACCAGTCCTAGACGGCACAGGCTGCAATGTTAATGACATAATTTAAAAAGCAATTCATTAATAGCCGATGTCAGGAGCCCAGGAGTCTGCGAAGCAATTAAAATGCGCACAAAGAAAGCTTGTTCGAGGCCGGATTGGAAATTCAGATGCTCGGCCCAGAATGTTAATGGTAATTAAAACTGATTCTCATCGAATATGGGTGAATAAGTTCGAGCGCTCTTTAAAATAAACTTAACGAATGGAAATTGAATTAAACAGCTCCCACTGGAGGACAAAGGAGGGATATCATTGCTTCCTTTTTATTTCCACACTATTTATGGGTATTAAATAAACATTTGGCCAACTTCAAATGATAATTTCTTCCTTCTTTGATGTGCTTCATTGAAATAGATTTTTTTTATTCTATAAATTAACGTCGTGGACTTTGAAAAATGTGTCTCTCTACCTGCAGAAAAAAAAATAAAATGATGTAAAGGATTGAACGCATAAATTATATTCTATTTAAATAATTGGAAGAACTATTTGTTTCTTTCGATTTGCAGACTTCTTACAAGTATTATAACCGCATAAAGTTTAAACATATAATTTAAATTCTGCTGTTATTTCAAACTAGAAAATAATTGGAAATGTCTTCGAGCTTTCTATCTGCCAGCTCTGCTTATCTTGAACTCTGGCATCGTCTCCGCGGCCACTGAAATGTGTTTTGGTTGCGCAACCCCGATGTCCTGGCCATGTCAAATCATCCTTTTGGTATTCGGCCTTTGTGCCCAGTGGAGTGATTTATGGGCTGCTCTTCTTTCTGCCCTGTTTGGAAATGTTTCTGTGTAAATATGCCAGCAGCGGGACACATTCCAAAATTGGTCCGTGCAAATTGTTTGCCTCAGCACTATTATCCTTTTCGCAGGATGTCGCTGCTGCTCGCTTTTTAGGTAATTGCTGACTTTTGCCATTTCGTCTGGTGAGTTATTCGATTCCTATACGAAAATTTGATATTCCGACCACATGCTGTGATTAAATTGTGGATGCCAGATCTTCTTCTGCTCCGAGTCACTTTTCCAGGAGCTTGTTTTGTAATTGAAAATAGTTTTTGGCACTGATGAGAGTGCACAAACTTTGTCGAGAGGCGTGACTGAGATTGCAGTTGTTGATTAGAACTTCCGAGTTTTGCAAGGGCAAGTGACCTTTTGTTTATTAGAGGAAAAGCAATAATATTGCAATCCGAAATATAGGAAACAAATTAAAATAGATTTATAGCTTTTATTGTATATTTCCACATCAAAGAAATTTATAGTTTCAACTTAAGCCATGTTGTTTGAACTTCTCAAATTTAATTTTCAACTTTTAGGACAGCCTCTGCCCATTTTTGTGGCACCGCCTGCTGGGCAATTTATCATAACGAATGCTCGCAAGTTCCAGAAACTATAGCCAACGCTTTACGCAACACTTGAGCATGCAAATTTAGTAAATTGGAAATAGAGTCGCCGCACTTCGAAACCGCAAAACCCATCGCCCAATAAGTTTTCGACGGGTAACGATACACAAATGGCGATGGGTGGGGCCTGGTCCAGTCTCGACTTCAGTCGGAGTTCCTGGTCAGGCCAAAAACTTCAAGACGGGCATGTGCATTTGTCATAAATTAGAAACTGTAACTTCCAGTGCTCGCTTTTTGCACCGCTCCACCCAGCACTTAAATTTATTGCAAATAACTCTTTCCCTTCATATCTTTTTTCAGGCGGCATTTTATGCTCCGTACTCTTCGGCGTTGGCTTAATTTTTTAGCCAAGCAAACTAATCAACGCCCACAGTTTGCGATTGCGAGAAGGTCGTCGGTGGGATGAGGCAACAGCCTAAATGAAGTGTGTTAAATTCGAGCGGAGACCCCTTTCAATTATATCTCTATTTTTGTGTGTGCTCACCCATAAGTAAACACCAACTTGGCTACAATGAAACCCGAGCCGGCCAACGCAAATAAATCTTGGCCTAAGTGTTGTGGTCATTTAGCAAATGTCCGGCAATGTCCGGCATGCAAATTTGTATGTGTCCTTCTGGGGTTGGATCTTTCGCATTTTTTTATACCCTTGCAGAGCAAAAGGGTATTATAATTTCAGTCAGAAGTTTGCAACGCAGTGAAGGAGACATCTCAGACCCCATAAAGTATATATATTCTTGATCAGCATCACGATCAGAATCCAAATCCGTCTGTACGTCTGTCCGTCTGTCCGTCTGTCCGTCTGTCCGTCTGTCCTCCTGTCGGTTTCTATGTAAACTAGTCTCTCAGTTTTAAAGCTATCTCGCTGACACTTTCCCAAAAGTTGTGTAGTTGTTGCACGCAGTATATAGGTCGAAACGAGCCGGATCGGCCGACTATATCGGATAGCTCCCATACAAGAGAATGAAATAAAAATTCTTACTCCGTTGTTTTTGATCAGATCGACTTGATTTCTTCCAGATGGCGTTTTCTAACTGCTATTGAATTTCGTATTAAATTTTATCAAAATCGGATAACTCTATCATATAGCTGCCATAGGAGGATCAAAATATATATATATAAATAATCAAAAAAAAATTATAATGTCGTTGTTTTTAATGCCACGAGCATGATTTTTGGAACATCAAGTTTTTGAAATACTCTTAAATCGAGAAAAAAATTTCATAAAAATCGGAGTACTATATCATATAGCTGCCATAGGAAAGATAG